CTCCTGTGTGAGACCGGTCATATCACTCCGATCGAGCCACCCATCACTTATACAGATTTTTCTTTGTCTACGTATTTTGCACATATGTAATTGGACATTATATAGGTGATTCGTTACAAGATAGTTTATGGAAAAAAATAACAGCAAGGAAAGTTATATAAAGGAAAGGAACTAAACACATTGTACGTCGGAAATGGACTAATGTGTTATAATGTGAGTCCAGAAAACATTAGAGGACCTAGATATGTTTTGCTACCTCTGACTTACGGCCAAGAGATTGTGACCTTTGACTTTCTTTGATATTTGGTTTAGAAGTAAACAGTTGTTTTTCTTTTGTAACAACTTGATCGGATAAGTTAACAGAGAAAATGATTTACTAGGTTTAAATCAAAACGGGGTTGGTATTCATGAGCAGCGTGCGCGTCGCGGTAACTTCGCCAAGCCGGCTGACTGTCGGCTGCTTTCACTAAAATTAAATATTTTTGCGACTTGCCAATAAGGCAGACTTGAACCTAATTCTTCTTACAGGATTGAGGTTGTATGTATTCAATGCACGGTGAGCGCAAATAAGTACTGTACAACTTGTCGTGGATTACATTACCGCACGGAACATTTTTTTCTGTGATCTAAAATTTGTCTGTCAGTGTCTCGATCTGTATTGTGCAATTGAAATTGTATGTTTGTCAATAGAACCATGACATGGAAAACAATTCTAGGGCAATGTTAAAAGATAAGCCAAAGTCAAAGTCAAAATCATTACACCACTTTTGAACGTCAAGCAAAAAAAAGAAAAATATATTTCAAGAGGTTTAACTTTATGCGTGTCAGTCTGTCCGTCTGTCCTCTAGATTCCTATGGAGAAGAACGACCAAGAAATACAACAGAAGAAATACACAGCAAAGAATGAATTCCATTATTCTTAGAAATCTTCTATTATATATTCACGATACACATTTCTTGCATAATTTGATTAAAACACGGGATAATTTAGCAAAATTTTCACTCTGACATTTCTACAAACACGACCTACATGTAACGCTCGTATTTGCTTCAATCACTTGCTACCACACACTGATTAAGCCTAATAACCTCTCAGCTCCAAACGTACAGACACACAGACATACATAATGTATGTAGATGAGACGAGTAACTTGTTCCGTTACCGCGCCACTTAGTAAATGTGGAGTTCCGTGCTATGATTACATGGGGGTATTGCGTTTAGTAACGCTTTGTAGAGATAAACACCATATATTATGGTGTGTAAGAGATTTTATAAGTATTTTGTATTTAGTGTAGGAGACTGATGCTTCGACACGAATGGGTCGGCTCAACTGGAGTTATACCACGGCCTCACAGAAAATCGGTGTGAAACAATACTTTAACGTTGTGTTTCGCCGTGTGAGTGAGGTTACCGGAGGCCCAATCTTTCCCTCCCCAATCTCTAAATTTCCAAATCGCTAATCCCCAAAAGGTCGGCAACGCACTCGTAATTCCTCTGTTGTTGTTCCTGGCGGCACGGCTGATAGCTTTTTTTATGGTGACACAACCACAGCGTTGTGTTTGCCGTGTGAGTAAGGTTACCGGAGACCCTATCCCTTCCTCCCCAACTTTTAAATCTCCAAAAGGTCGGCAACCGGCAGCCTAAGATCTCAATTCAACAACCACAAAGTGTCCTCAAACCACTTGTAATTCCATGGGTGGCACTGATTGCTTACCATCAGGTCATTTTTTTTTGTGAGGGGCAAATCATCAAATGAATTCTCCCGCCCAGGGCCGGGCAGGAGGGAGTGTCAGACTCTTACTGACTAAAAACCCCCCTGTTCCTTCTCCTGCTCTGTGCCGAGGTCGCGGTACCTCATTGCGCTTACCCCGCAACCCCGGCTGAACATCAGCCCTTTAGGGCCCCGTCTGTGGTGGTCGAATGGCTCTTTGAGGCGCGCGCGGAACGCTACGCGCCGTACGCTCGGGCCTGGTTCTGGTCGGGCGGCGAGCTGCCCTTACTTGTCGACCGCAGGCCCGTACTTACGGTGGCCGGAGATCGTCCCTCGATCCCCGACGCCCGTAGTGTCGCCAGTTGCGGCTGCTGGGGCGTGAGGAACAGGATTGCTCCCTCACGCGGGCCGCCTCTCTCTTTGCGAGCATGACCGCTTTACAAAAGGAGGAGACGGCGTCCCAGTTCCTCTCACTCCGCACCATGGCCTCGACTAAGGCCGGGCGCGACCATCAGGTCATCTGAAAGTGATTTACTGTCGCTAGCCACTGCCATAAAAAAAAATGTGCCACATGTTTATTGAATATTTAAATTGAATATGGTGTTGTACATCCTATATGTGACCTCATTCCGCCATTATCATAACATTTTCCAAGAGCCAGTTTGTCCGGATTATCCGGATCTGAGAATAGATGAGGTTTGAGGTGAGATGAACTAAATAGTATTAATGAGTTATATTTATTTCACTAGGTCCTGCTAGCTAGCTAGCTAGTTAGTTTTTTACCAAACTAATAGAAATAGATATACTTTCGGTCGGTGAATTTTAGTTACTAAAAAATCACTGCTTGTTTTTTTTCTTTGATTTGTATTATAAAGTTGCTTATCTCCATTCTCTAAGTCATTCAGTTTAACTATTTGATTTTCAATGAAAGTTTAAGTAAGAAATATTTTATTGTCTTTGTTGCAAATTAGATTTAATTATTTTAGATACATACATACCTACATAAGTACATGGTTCAAGCTGCAATGATTTCATTTGATAATTAATAGAATATATTTTTACGACAAATTAACCTAATGGTAAGCAATCGGCGCCGCTCTTAGACGCTTGAAACTCGCCTTTGGCTGATTAAATATAAGTATATGATGATTAAGGGATCCTTTCATAAGGGATGGGGGAAGGAGAAGGATTTGGCCTTCTGTAACTTGACTCACACGGTGAAACACGACGCTTAACATACTTTAAATAGATTTGGTTCTTAATTCTCAGAGCGAATTTAAGGTTCAAGCGGATGCAAGAATCAGTTCTTGTACTGTATAAAATGTTTCAAAAGATAGTCGTTCGTTTACCTCGCTGTGTGTGCGAGTCATGTGTCGGTGCTAACAAACTCGTTACCTCCCTGCAACCCTCGCTTCGTTACTCCGACCCGCTCAGCTTTAAACGAATCATCTACATTCTAGAATATAAGTTCACTACTTCAGCACTTCATAAAATCATTATATTTATTTTTTACGTAATAGGTCGGCAGACGGACAGACGGATTACCTGATTCTAAGCAATAAACACCAGTACTGTTACAAGTTTAGGAATTGGGGACGAATGGGAGGATTGGGTCTTCGGTAACCTCACTTACACGACGAAAAACAACACCATGTTTATTTTGCATTGGTTTTCTGTGTAGACGTGGTGTCACTCCGGTTGAGCCGACCCATTGTCAATTACTGAAGCATGGCTCTCCCACACTTAATTTATATGTAACTGGAACCATTAATGTCCAATTAATCAGTGTGCAAAATAAAAGCCACGCATTTGAATTGTTGTCCTTACGTAACACGGAACGAAATATTTCTGAAAACAGGTATCCAGAAGTGTTTTTAGTCTTATAAATTCTACAGATGTTATACTTAGTTTCTGCGACCTTCTTAAACAATCATAACTATATCTTGTCTAGCATATTAGAGGCTCATCCACAAGCAATGTTCCACTAAGCCCAGCTTACACGGCTAACGCCAAAGACAATTAATTTCTCCTGGCAACACTAACCCCCGGTGAGGGGTAATTAACTAGAAACTCATTAATTACTATTGATGTGTCACATATTGGACTGTCGGATCAGTTGACATACCTCTGAGAATTAAGGTGATTAGTGGTAGAGGGATTACAAAATTATTTTTTTGGGTAGGGGGAGGAGATATATTAACAAACGTCTTCTCCCGTCCTGGATACGAAAAGAGGGAGTGTCAGACTCAAAGTCAAAGTCAAAAATCATTTATTCCAATTAGACCCTTGCAAGCACTTTTGAAAGTCAAATACAATTTTGGAGTTACAGTGTCAGTCTGTTGGTCAGTCCTCTTAATGAAGCTATGTATTTGCTCGTTCCAAAGTGTAGATTCTGATGGAGAAGAACGAGCAAGAAACTCCATGGTTACTCTTTTTAAATCAGTTTCACATAAGTACTAATTCCTTTTACAAAGAGTTGGTTCAATTATGTGAGAACAGAGTAACACTAATATTTATTCAAATATAAAAAGAAAATAACCTTAAGGACAATAGACAGTCCGGAGCTGACCAGTCCCAATAGGCGGCGTCCGTTCACGAACATGACACGTACACCAGCACCGCCCAACTCAACCATATTATAGGGAACTGAGCGATACAGCGCCCGTGCCACCGCCAGTGTGACCTTTCAGTGAGCATGACAACTCTGAAATACTGACTAAAAACCACCCCGTTCCTTTTCCTGCTATAAGCGGAGGTCGCTGTATTACTGCGATTGCAACTGCGACTCCAGCTTAATAATCCAATATCCTCCTTGATTAAGCGTTTATAATATGTATGTGACTATACTTGGAATTTTTGTTTTAACAAATTTCATAAACTATGTCAAAATTGTCATCTTTCAACTAATTAATTACGTACCATTTACACAATCCACTTGAAGATTGATAAAATATTCATCATTTGTACAAGGAAAGGTATTTGAATGAAAACTGAAAGGCTTTGTAGCACTGGCCTGAAACTTAAGAGTTACAAATGAAATCGCTTAGTGTATACGGACAGCGACGACTCAACAAAGGCCGTAAAGTCAAGGCTTATGTCGTCGACGATTTATTCCCCAAACTAACTACTGCTATTGTCAACGCTCGGAAATATTACCTACCAAGACATTAAACACGCGCCTAGGTATTTCAAAATGGTTATATGTCAATATTTTGAAGCCAAGAAGTAAAATACCTAATTAGCAAGTACATTTTTGTTTTGAAGTGGGTAGATCATGGAATGCCTTGAATGAGAGAAAGAGAACCACCTGAGTTGAGGTGAGTGGGAGTGTCAGACTATTTTTTATTTAAAACCAGTGCGTTAGGCGGAAAGTAAGAGTTCTCAATAGCGTAGTCTCCATAGCCATTCCTTTAAGAGTAGTTTACCGCTGCTATAACAGCGTGCCTGAATTACCAAGTACCTTAGTGCCTATTTCTCAACATCGCATCCACGAACAATGTTTCACTTACAACACTTATGTCATCAACTTACGATATGAGCGCGTAGAAACGATTTCTGCATATTTACGTGACAGCGTAGAAGAATCTGACAAGATTGCAGGAAATTGATGGAAAGCGTCCCAAATTTATCACCATAATCGCGCCAGAACACGTCCACTTCAGAATAAAGGTTTCCCCTTTAGTTCAGCGGCTGAAAGACAAATTGCCACACCAAAAGTAATGTTAAAATTGTGGCAATAACCATTACAATATTGACCTTTACCTTTCTTGTATAAAAGGGTTTTACATCTAAGCGTTTTATTTTCAGCCTGAATGATTATTCGACACCTCCATTCAATATCAACGTTGCCATGGCAACAACTTATTACAGGGTGCTCCAAAATGATGGCAAGTGGGTGACGTGTGTGCTCTCTTCACGCTACAAGAAACACACAGACATACATACAGGAAAACATATTGTGACGAACATACTGACACGGCAATAACGACGTTATTAGCTACATAATATTGCGTGTTGACATTTGTTATTTTCGAAAAATGTTTTATTCACATATGAATATGAATTTTTCCTTTAAGGTAAAAATGTTAGGTGGCTATATTAATTTAGGTACTGATACGAAGAAGGAAAACCCTGTTAAAAATTAAATGGTTCCGTAATATTATGATAAAAAAATCGAAAAAAGCACAAATGTATAAATACTTTTTTACTTGAGGATACTAGTTTCTCCTTTATTATAGCGTCATGACTGATGAAGACTTGTGTTTTCTCACTGAACCTGAACACATTTTCGTGGAGTCCAAAGCTTGAAGTAAAAGTTTCCCATATCTACGAGTAAAAGATTGCCACGGAATAGTTCATTTCTTAGCTCAGATAGTTCTAAGCGTGTCGTTAATGAACACCGCCATACTTTATCACAGGGCTACCTCGTGTTTACAGGAATATTTTTAAAAGACAATAATATTTTCGCCAGTGCATAATAAAATTTTGGATTTATTTCCGCATGCCGGGAAAAAATAGAAACAACTTCGATATTTCAGGCTATTTGTAAAATATTTTGAAGTCAATATTTCCGCGGGCATACATTACTCGACACGTTAATTAAACCTCATACTTCTTATAGGTATGAAGGGACGTTTTGAATAGTAAGTAATAAAAAATGCATAGAATCCGCCTGCGTGCGCACCCCTGTGATCAGAAACCCTACAATAATGATTGAGGACTGCAACGGTCACAAAGTGGCGGTATTACTACTTCTATTTTTTTATCTACATTCTTTATATCCACGTCATTGTAATTTGAGCATTCGTTTGTCTTAAATGTTTAAACTTAGATTAATACACGTAACTATTTCATTCCGATTCTTTCTTTTATCATCTTTAGCTGAGGGTATGGAAAGATACACATCTAATGTGGGACGAATAGGGACGACTGAGCGATACGCGTGTCTTCCAAATTGGCACAAAAATAAAATAAAATAAAACAACAATCACAAAAAAAAATAATTTTCTTTACAAATCTATTATTATGAAATTCGCATTAGAATATCAAAGTACAAAAATATTTTGTAAGTTCAATACTCAATACTTAATCATTTATTGCATTTCACAGTGTTTTTCTTAGGTGGTAAATTATAAAATATGAGATCATCATGGACCCTGTCGGGCACAGCAAAGTAGAAGTAAAAGTAAAAGTAGGAGGTTACACAAAGATTAACAAACAAAAAAAATGCTTATCTGAATATAATAAGAAGTAGGTACTCAGAGTCAGATCTAACTGTCAGAGGGCAGAGTAACGACACTATCTACGTCTCAGGAACAAAAAGGTGGTCATGCGCCGGCCGCACACCCCTTTATCATAGCCTTTATACCTAGTAGCAAAAAACCCAGTCTCTCAGCCCCACCACTGTCTACCGCTTTGTTAAATTAAATTTTAAAACAAAGCAGACACTAATTGTTCATGTAACTCTCAAATATTTTAAAGTGCATTTTAATTTTATTGACCACCATATTTTGGTAATTATATCACTTATTTCAATTATTATTTGGGAACACCTTAACACGCGTTAATAGAGTTGAGTTGACATAGCCAAATTCCCACAACCTTAAGCGCCAATTCTCTAACCCGCCAAAAGGCCGGCAACGCACTGTTAATTTCTCTGGTTACGATATTTTCCTTCGCCAATTAAGAAAGGAGCGCCTTGACCTGCGGGCCACCAAGACCTTTTTGGGATATAGTTAGGTTTACAATGATCTAAAAAGTCAAAAGTCAAAAATCATTTATTCCAATTAGACCTTTACAGGCACTTTTGAAAGTCAAACAAAAATTTGGAAGATATAGTGTCAGTCTGTCGGTCAGTCCTCTTAGTGAAGCTATTTGCTCGTTCCAAAGTGTAGATTCCGATGGAGAAGAACGAGCAAGAAACTCCATGGTTACTCTTTTTAAATCAGTTTCACATACAGATTCCTTTTACAAACCGTTGGTTCAATTATGTGAGAACAGTGTAACACTAATATTTATTCAAATATAAAAATAAAGTAACCTTAAGGACAATAGACAGTCTGGAGCTGACCAGTCCCAACTGACGGCGCCCGTTCACGAGCATGACACGTACACCAGCATCGCCCAACTCAACCATATTGTAGGGAATTAAGCGATCCAGCGCCCATGCCACCGCCAGTGTGACCTTTCAGTGAGCATGACAACTCCAAGCTGTTACAAGGACCGACATTCTGCTAGTCTAAACAATTGTAGTAGGTTACAGGGCACTCACATTTACAAATTTATCAAGTTATAGTAATACAGTATAATGCAATTTAAAATCAATTTAAACATCGCGTCCTCCTAAATTAATATTTGAATTATTTTAAGAGCAACATAGAAGGTAATGCCTTGGTCCTATAACTGATCTACTTTAATAATATAATTTCAGAAATAAATATTCTATTAATTTTTTTTATGTAATGCGTCGGCAAACGAGCTGACTGATTACCTGGTGGTAAGCAATCAGCGCCGCCCATGATCACCTGCAATAACAGTGGAGTTACGAGAGCATTGCCGACCTTTTGGGGGTTGGGGTAGGGGAAGGATTTGACCTCCGGTAACCTACCTCACATGGCGAAACACAACGCTGTGGTCATTTCACGCCGGGTTTCTGTAAGGCTGTGGTATCACTCCGGTCGAGCTGACCCATTTGTGCTGAAGCATGGCTCTCCCACACTTTAAATATAATTGTAAATATTGTATAAAGTGTAAATATTATCAATCCATTTCAGTTGAACAGAATATTCCAACAAATAATGATCTCAGTGTTTAATGTTAATAAATTATAATGCATCATGCAGTTTCATCAAATAAATATTGAAAACGAACGGAAGAGGGCGCTCGAGCGCACTCCATATTAATTTAATGAATAAATATTTAAATCTGGCAATACTTTCGATTGGAAACTTGTTCGAGTGACATTCGATTTGAGTTGAGTACGAAAGCGGCCGTTACTGGCAATACCAATCCTGCCGTATTGGTTTTTCTACGGAATTTAACTAATAAAATAAATACAAGTTGGATATGTTTGGAGGTTGTCCAAACTCAACCCAATTAAATTTGGTCCACTAGCTCCTTGGTTTGTGCTGTGTTCAATAGGGTTTCATAAATCAAAGGAAATATATAAAGTTATAGATTTGAAGGGTTAGTTTGTGTGATGTATGATGTTGGTTTGACAATGGGATCTTTGTATATCTTTGTATTTTTGAAAAAAAAAACACTTCCTTTTGACATAGGTGTAGTGTAGCCGTACATAATATTAATATGTGGATCTTTGGATGGTGATTATTAGGTTTAGTAAGCAAGTTCGTGCGAATGCTTTTCAAAATTCAATCTACAGAAATGTAATATCAGGATGATAATAATATTCACTTATATACATATAATTTATATAAACAGTTTAATTGTTACAAAAAATACATTCCCTCCATTTTATCAATTGTTACAAATTTATTTATCGATTTTGGATAGAGTAGGCGTTAAAAGAAATTGCCTGATGCACTGATAGTAAGCAACCGGCATCTCCCAAAACCAAGTCTCTCATTAGGTGGTAGGCGGCGGGGATTGGAGCCTCATTCTCACAAAGTAAGATAAAGGAACAATCTTTAAACTCACCACCGTTCTTTTTGTTGCAGAGCATCCTACGTGTCAGTGCTGACGATTGTCGCGTTCTCCCTGGAGCGGTACCTGGCCATCTGCCACCCACTCCATCTTTACGCCATGGCTGGTCTTAGGCGCGCCCTCCGTATAGTGGCTGCCCTGTGGCTGATCTCATTGCTGGCTGCTTCTCCCTTCGCACTCTATACCACTGTCAGCTACCATGACTATCCACCAGGTAAGAAAAACAGCTTATAATGTGTCTCTGTGTAAAGACCTTTTACACGACGAACAGAAATGAAGTAATTAATGTGTCGCAGGCTCGAAACAACTCTTTGTGTGAACCACAAATTGTTATTCCGGGTCTGGGTATAATGTGTATGTCAAATTGTATATTTGTAAACCCATGACACAGAAGAAAATAACAGACGTGGGACAACGTTTTTAAAAAATAATGAAATTAGTTTTACTTTTTAATACTGCTTAGTTTCATTATTAGGTTTGCGGGTGATATCTTTATTCATTTCTTTTATTTATTTTAATAGGTTTTCGTTTCTTGTAAAACAACCGAGTAACGAATTCTTTTTTTAAATTGCCTTTCTATAACACGTCTACGGGACAACATTACATACAAAACGAAATTTCATTTCAGTTCCTTAAATACTAAACGGTTTGTTTAGTATTTGAAAAGGCACTGGAATCTTTACCTGAAATAGCACTAAAGTATTCAAGTTAACAAATTATTACTTTTTAGAAAATAGACGAATAAAAGTACTAGGCGAATCTGACGGCGTAAAACGAAAAGTGTCCAATGTAACATTTTTTAATCAATTACCTTCACAATCTCGCTACATTTTGCTGCAAAAGCTAAAAAGAAACGCAGATATGAAATCGATTTATACATTTTTTACTAAATGATGAACGATGTGCTGGCTCTCTGTACTTTACCATTTTTTTTATTTTAAAAGAACAAGTTTTTGGTAATTCTTATCATGTTCAACGTTTTCAGTGAAGGTTTCTTAATTGATGGGTCCCGAGCGACGTTAGATCAAACAATTTCAGTATTGCGGGCTAAAGTTGAAAAGTTCACTTATTTACTTTGATTTCATTCCGTTCGTCTGACATGGGTGCCTCCTACCGATGCCCATCCATTTCACTTTTAGACTTCTTACGACCAAATTGTTGGCTCATCTATCACCCGAATTAGATTTTGGTTAGGTATACAAATCCAAATCCTATTTTTATTTGTAGGTCACGAATTTGTTTCTTTGTCCATCTTCGTTTAATATACAAGCTCAATAAAAGCTATCGTAGAGCATTATGTCCTGGTTCCAATTTCAAGATCTTCTCCTTCTCGCTGCTTGTCTTCTCACTGGTCTTTCTCTTTCTTCTCATACGAATCTACATATTGGAGTGAGAAAATATCATATCATTAGATGACGAACACTTTTATTTTGTTTGATGTTCAAAAGTGTCTTATTGGTTTAATTGAAATAAATTATTTGGAATTTGTAGTTTGTGTATTTCGTGTGTATTGCATTTGGCAATGTTTGGAAACACATTCCTCTATTTGAAAAGGTATGTTGCCTAATATATGTAGATACAATTGCACTTCCTTTTCTTAATTATTAGGCCGTAAACTTACGGTTAGCCATAATTAAAATTATTTCATTTCGAGCAACATTCATTCTAAGAGTAAAATTATAATGAGTTGAAACCACATCAGAAGCTAGCGACAAAGCGAAAGAGAATAGGTTAATTTAATAGTGGCCGAGGAACTTGACCAGTGGGCTTTTGTCATCAACCCTTCATGAAATTGTGGGAGAAAACGGCGTGAAATAACCACAGCGTTGTGTTTCGCCGACCGTGTGAATGAGGTTACCGGACGCCCAATCCCTTAATCCCCAAAATCCTAATCCCTAAAAGGTCGGCAACACATTCCATGAGAGGCACTGATTGCTTACTATCAGGACATGTGATCTTTTCCCGTCCTATATAAAAGTTAACCAATAGACCTCTCCGGTATCGGGAGGACCTTACTAAAATCTGAGCTTTGTATGAGATTTAAACATTGCAATATAAGATATATAGGTACATGTGAATAACATTATTATTTTTCAACGAACTAATGTCTAAATTATCTAACCCGCGATTTTTAGTTAATTTAGTATGTCTCACGATAGTTATTATAAAAACAGAACTAAAGTCTCTTACGGATGTGCCGATAAAACGAGAAGAGCAAAATAGTCAGAAACAATAATCCGCTCTGCCTAATAGTACAACTAGGTTTTTTAAATACTAAGTTAAGATTATAGTAAACTGTCATAATGTATGCCTGCCATCAGAACAGGATCACTCAAACTAGCGATTCTATTTCTTCAAATGGCTACTACAAAATTTGACTGCACGGTTGGTGCGGTGGCTGGGCAACTCGCTGCCGTGCAATGTGTCGCGGGTTCGATTCCCGCACGGAACAACACTTTGTGTGATCCACAAATTGTTGTTTCGGGTCTGGGTGTCATGTGTATGTGACATTGTATGTTTGTAAACGCACCCACAACACAAGAGAAAATCCTAAAGTGAGTTTATTAAAAAAAAAAAACATTGAGGCATACGTAGGGATATAGGGACAGAAAAAGCTACTTTTTTTTAAAGTAATAAGTAGTGAAGCCTAAATACGAAAGTCTTTCTCCAGGATCTGGCAACGCATCCCTGGAGTCAGCATTCTGTGCTATGCTGGAGATGCCGTCGTGGTACCTGTGCGAGCTGAGCAGCCTGCTGTTCTTCATCCTGCCAGGAGTCATCATACTCTGCCTCTACGTGCGCATGGGACTACGAATTAGGTATGTCTTGGGGTACGTATCGTTTTGTTATTGATTTAGTTTTATGATTTGTTTGTGGTTTTGTTCCAGTCCTTGTAAGTAAAACGATTTTAATACGTTTTTACGACGAGTCTTCAAGTTTTTAATTATTATGAAGTTCTTTTCTATTCCATAGTTAGTGTTACCATGAATTTGTGGCCAACCCACATTATCATGTAGGTACTTGGAATAAAAAGAAAAACTCCCAACCAAAATGTAACATGCTAAACAATTTTTATAATATCTATCGTGAGACATACTAAATTAACTAAAAATCGCGGGTTACTCACGTGTATATATTGAGAAAAGCTCTACTAGTTTTGAACCACAGAGGGGTTCTTACTGTAGGCTGCGCGACGTCGCCGCGTCCGCGCACGCTGCTTATGAGGAAGAACCCCTCTGTGGTTCGAAACTAGTAGAGCTTTTCTCAATATATACACGTGAGTAACCCGCGATTTTTAGTTAATGCTAAACAATATTCAAGGTCAAAACAGTCATCCTAAAGGTCAAAGTATTTTTTTAAAATAGTCCTGTAAAACTGTACTTTTGAGACGTCAAAGTTGAAATGTCAGTCAGTCTGTCCGTCATTGAAGCTATGAGGTCATTACAAACTGTAGATTCGAATGCAGAAGAACGAGAAAGAAACTCCATCGTCACTTTAAAAATAAATGCTTTTACAATGTCATTAATACAATATTTCAACCCAATATTACATAATTATTATGTATGTAGAAACAATGTTATGAAAATACCCCGTGAAAAGTAGTCTAAGATGGAACCAATTCAGAAAAAAAAACTATTTTACGTAGTCAGATTGTTATACCGTTTATTTATTTTAAATTTAAAATGTATTGTAAGCGTAACAAGATCAAAAATTCCACAGCACTCAAGCAGCTTAATTACGACAAAACAAATTTATTTACAAAGATAGGCACAAACAGATCTTGTCAGACGTTCAGCCTAAACTGGCTTAGGTAGGCTTAAAATCATAGTTCTTAATGAAAACTAAATATAATTAAAGTATAAAGAAACTTACACTATTATAAACTATAAGTAATATTTTTGTTCAGCTTATTGTTTTAATTAAAGAGTTACTTGGAAATAGTTCATTGATAGGTATAATATTAACTTTAGCATCATTTATCAAAACAGAGAGGTTATTCCAGCTGACCCGAAGTAAAAACCAATAATTTCACATCGTTACTTTTATTGAATAAGTTTTATTATTCTTTATTAATTATTGCTTAGTTATTTTTGTAAAATTCAGGGGACTTACAATTTATCAAAGCGTTTTCAAAATATGATTTTTAAAGGGGAACAATTTAATTAATTATGTTCTAATGTTAACATAATAAAGATATTTTCATTTTTTTATACAATTTTACCTGTACAATAAAATAGTAGATAGTTCTCCTTAATGCTCCCTTGAAAGGTAATATCTGTACAAAAAAATCTATCACACTATATTTTCGATTAAAAAAATGCAGCACGTAATTATACTTTAAAAATAAATAGTAGGAATTGGAACGAGGGTGTTTTTAGTCAGTGAAAATCTGACACTACCTCTCGCCTCACACTAAATGAGAGAAGAGAAAATTCATAAGATACATTTCCCCCTAAAATATCTAAAAGATCAATCGAGGATGGGAGCAGTGGAGTTCGTTATTGTACAAAGTCAATTAGATTGCGCCTTGCACTGCGAATTGAATGCCAACTTAACTTGTTAATAAGTTTGCTCCGAAACAAAGTGCGAAATTCAACTAACTCGGATATGATTACACATTTTAATTCTGCGAAACTCATCCCTCTTGCGATGAGGCAAGACTGGTCTGGTATATGTTATAAGTAACTAATAATCACGTACAAAAAAATACAAAATACAAAAATCTTTATTACTATAACAAAATTTTCTCCTTATAACTAGTTGCTGGAGTCTCCTTTTAAGCATGTACGTACACATATGTATATCATTTCTTTTTTGTGTAACTAATCAAATACTTTCGGCAATAAATTGATTTGAAATTTCGAGTGACGTCACGATTAAGTACATTTTGTATTTGGGGATTAGGGATTTGGAGATTTTGGGAATGGGGAGGGATTGAGGTAGGAGAAGGATTGGACCTCCGGTAACCTCACTCACACGGCGAAATGCAACGCTGTGGTTATTTCATGCCGGTTTTCTGTGAGGCCGTGGTATCACTCCGGTCGAGTCGACCCATTCGTGTCGAAGCTTGGCTCCCCTTGTCATATACAAAATACAAACATAAACAAAATAAAGCAATTGATAAAGTAAAGTAATCTTTATTGTGTTGGTAACACGAGTTATATATGTATAATAGTATACAGTACAACAATCAACCCGTTTGGGCTGTTATTTATAACAAAATTAAAAGATAAAAAATTATATAAAAGATAAAATAAATAGATTATTTATGTTCATACCCAGTTGTAATCTCTGTTAACCTGACGATTATAAATCTTACTAGGCTGGACATAAAGGTTATTTGATCTGCCAATATGATCCAAAATACTTTTTTTAATAATATAAATCTAAATTTAAATCAAGTACAATGCACCCACTGAAGTGTCGTTTGACATCTATTAGATACCGCGGCGCCGCCCGTTCTTATTTATTGAATTTTATATTTATTAAAAAACGTGGAGTACCGCCCACCACCCACGGTGTCAAATAACAAGCCACTCAGCTATTTTTCGCAAAGGATTCTGAACCGAAATCTTAAGGTCTATTTTTAGGTTAAAAAAGTAATACTGTGTTTATTGATAAATTCTTAAAAATAGTATTCGGATTAAAATTTTACAAATTCATCTGCCTAGCAGGTGATTTCTTATTTTTAAATATTTTCGACAATCAAGAGACCAATTTTATAGTCAATGAGGGAGGCCTATAATCTACAGTGCAATGATACCTATGATGAGGTTAAAAATTATAAATAAGATACTTTTTGAAATCTAAAATCTATCCCTACTCTGGGATTTTCTCTTGTGTCGTGGTACGAAACATACAAATTCACATAGACAGACCACCCAAACCCGAAACAACAATAATTATAGTTCACACAAAGCGTTGTTCCGTGCGGGGATCAAACCCCCGACACGTTGCACAGCAGCCAGTGCGCCAACCGTATAGTCAAACGAACGCACGTTTTGCACGTAAAATAAAGCTTGAAGATAATCTTTGTCTTGTTTGCGGCGGCGGTAATTCAAGCGGACTTACTGACAATATAACTTGCGAAACAAGAAAGTCATAAAAAAATACTTTTTACAAAGCACAATAAACTCAGCTATGTGACCTATTGAGGGACAAACGTCAAAGAAAGAATCTGTACTTTGATATTCCCTCGCCCGTGGCTGACGAACCGCTTTGCATCCTGACATAAAAATGGAGGCGTTAGATCAACAAAAGGTCAAAGTGCACAGGGGTGCATTTTGCTTGCACTTTTATTTAGAGCCAGTATAATCCGCGCAAAGCGTCCTCTAGCACGTGCCCACGCTATATACGACCTAAATATCTGCTATATACTGGTGTAAAAGATATTTCACGCTAAAAAAAATACATCTACATGTCAATGGATATCAATTCAATCAGTCAAAATTATGACTATATGTAAGGAGGTGGCGACGGCCTCCCGCGCCCGCTTTCAGTCCCGACCGTGATTCAGTTCATAGGGAGACAATTCAAACAAAGTATTCCCTTGTCTTTTATCAAGTTCCCAGTTATTTTATTAGTCTTCGAATTCTGGTTAATGTTATGTTATTGGAAAACTGAGGGGAAAATTTACTTACATAAAATGACACCGAGCCCGGAATACGATGTAAATCTAGTTGTCTAGTCAATGTGCTAACACGAAATTTTAAATGTCCACTCCTTAGTCTTCATTGATTACAATTTCAAATTAATAATAAGTTCAAAATTGCGCCTCCAGCAAGTATAGTGATTAATTCTTAATCCTTCTTCGTATGAGAAGAGCTTTTGCTCAGCAGTTAGCTCTATAGACAGTAGCAGTATAGGCAATCATAGTGATGAAGATTTTGAAGTGATAACGTAGATGAAGAACTAAAATAATTTGTTTATTTATTCTAAGCAAAATAAGTCAAAAAGTATATGTCCTCCCGCATATTTAATTTTAGTTAATATTATTTCTTCCTTTCGTTAATATTGGTTCGAATACCTGAACGTGTGCCTCTCTAGTTAATTAAGAGGAATTAGAGGTCTCATTGTATTGCTCAATTCGATACACAAATCTATTTTAAGTAACAGTCGTGTGGGTGAAACGAGAAAAGATACAGCCGAAGTTGGGAGATGTAATATTGTCTGATTATTATTAATGTAAGTATAGTGTATGTAAAATGTACTAGCTTTACGATTAAAAGGCGATTCATGTTCGCTATTTCGTATGCAACTTAAATTCGATTATTTATACGATCCAGTATATAATTAGCTATCTTATTTTAATAATAATTGTCGTGACACATATTACAAATAAAAAAGAATAAAATTATAATAACAACTTACTCCCTTACTCGCGTGAATTAACAGGGCTAAAGCACGCTACACAAGAGTTCCGTTGTGACTTGAAACTTGTAGAGCTTTTCTCGTAAATCGGTATCTTCCGTCAAATTATCACCAATGATACTTGATGATCTATATATATTATATACATATATACACTATGTATTATTATTATATAATTTGCGTGTTATTTTAACTCTTCTTTATGTCCAAAAAACAAAGTCAAAATGTGACCTTTAATAAAAGATCACCTCTGTCAACTTAAATCAGTTGACAACTTATTTTTAGAAAGAAAATCTTGTGATCGGATTTTATTTATAAAACGTTCTGAAAGTCTTAAACGTAACGATATTATCTGTCTTCAGTAACTTTGTGTAATCTAGAAGTTGTTAAACAAAGAGACGAAACTGTCGTCAACTCAACAACTAACTTGTTTTAACTTCTAGCCTGA